CCAGACAAACTCCACTCTACATCCTGGCACCAGACAAACTCCACACTACATCCTGGCACCAGACAAACTCCACTCTACATCCTGGCACCAGACAAACTCCACTCTACATCCTGGCACCAGACAAACTCCACTCTACATCCTGGCACCAGACAAACTCCACTCTACATCCTGGCACCAGACAAACTCCACACTACATCCTGGCACCAGACAAACTCCTCACTACACCTTGGCACCAGACAAACTCCACTCTACATCCTGGCACCAGACAAACTCCACTCAACATCCTGGCACCAGACAAACTCCACTCAACATCCTGGCACCAGACAAACTCCACACTACATACTGGCACCAGACAAACTCCACTCTACATCCTGGCACCAGACAAACTCCACTCAACATCCTGGCACCAGACAAACTCCACTCTACATCCTGGCACCAGACAAACTCCACACTACATCCTGGCACCAGACAAACTCCACTCTACATCCTGGCACCAGACAAACTCCACTCTACATCCTGGCACCAGACAAACTCCATTCTACATCCTGGCACCAGACAAACTCCACTCTACATCCTGGCACCAGACAAACTCCACTCTACATCTGGCACCAGACAAACTCCACTCTACATCTGGCACCAGACAAACTCCACTCTACATCCTGGCACCAGACAAACTCCACTCTACATCCTGGCACCAGACAAACTCCACTCTACATCCTGGCACCAGACAAACTCCACTCTACATTCTGGCACCAGACAAACTCCACACTACATCCTGGCACCAGACAAACTCCACACTACATCCTGGCACCAGACAAACTCCACTCTACATCCTGGCACCAGACAAACTCCACTCAACATCCTGGCACCAGACAAACTCCACTCAACATCCTGGCACCAGACAAACTCCACTCTACATCCTGGCACCAGACAAACTCCACTCAACATCCTGGCACCAGACAAACTCCACTCAACATCCTGGCACCAGACAAACTCCACACTACATACTGGCACCAGACAAACTCCACTCTACATCCTGGCACCAGACAAACTCCACTCAACATCCTGGCACCAGACAAACTCCACTCTACATCCTGGCACCAGACAAACTCCACTCTACATCCTGGCACCAGACAAACTCCACTCTACATCCTGGCACCAGACAAACTCCATTCTACATCCTGGCACCAGACAAACTCCACACTACATACTGGCACCAGACAAACTCCACTCTACATCCTGGCACCAGACAAACTCCACTCAACATCCTGGCACCAGACAAACTCCACTCTACATCCTGGCACCAGACAAACTCCACTCAACATCCTGGCACCAGACAAACTTCACACTACATCCTGGCACCAGACAAAGTCCACACAACATCCTGGCACCAGACAACCTCCACTATACATCCTGGCACCAGACAAACTCCACTCTACATCCTGGCACCAGACAAACTCCACTCTACATCCTGGCACCAGACAAACTCCACTCTACATCCTGGCACCAGACAAACTCCACTCTACATCCTGGCACCAGACAAACTCCACTCTACATCAGGGCACCAGACAAACTCCACACTACATCCTGGCACCCGACAAACTCCACTCAACATCCTGGCACCAAACAAACTCCACTCTACATCCTGGCACCAGACAAACTTCACACTACATCCTGGCACCAGACAAACTCCACTCTACATCAGGGCACCAGACAAACTCCACTCGACGTCCTGGCACCAGACAAACTCCACACTACATCCTGGCACCAGACAAACTCCACTCTACATCCTGGCACCAGACAAACTCCACTCTACATCCTGGCACCAGACAAACTCCACTCTACATCCTGGCACCAGACAAATTCCACTCTACATCAGGGCACCAGACAAACTCCACACTACATCCTGGCACCAGACAAACTCCACTCAACATCCTGGCACCAGACAAACTCCACTCTACATCCTGGCACCAGACAAACTCCACTCTACATCCTGGCACCAGACAAACTCCCCTCTACATCCTGGCACCAGACAAACTCCACTCAACATCCTGGCACCAGACAAACTCCACTCTACATCCTGGCACCAGACAAACTCCACTCTACATCCTGGCACCATACAAACTCCACTCTACATCCTGGCACTAGACAAACTCCACTCTACATCCTGGCACCAGACAAACTCCACACAACATCCTGGCACCAGACAAACTCCACTCAACATCCTGGCACCAGACAAACTCCACTTTACATCCTGGCACCAGACAAACTCCACTCTACATCCTGGCACCAGACAAACTCCACTCAACATCCTGGCACCAGACAAACTCCACTCAACATCCTGGCACCAGACAAACTCCACACAACATCCTTCACTATACAATTACGATACTATATATTACTTTGTACATTGTATTAAGCATATAAATGTTATACTATTTGTTATTATACACTGTACCATATACAGCAGTGTGATATACATTAGGGTGGGTAGAATAATACATAGTGTAATATTACAATGTATAAGGTATAAAACAGTATATAATTTAATGTTGGGTTTGTCTATGGCAGTATATAGTACGGTGTAGACTCGTGTGATGTAAGAGAATAAAGTTTAGATGGAAGCATATTATATTTTTACGACGTAGAATTGTAATGTATTACTTACTGTTAGTAACTCAGCTTATTGTAGAGTATATTTAGTATACTGATGATACTATGTAGTTTATACTTTAGTTGTTTACGTGGTGGTTTTAGTTACTGCAGCTACATACTATTAACACTCCTTCCCTTTATTAATGCTACCCCTATCCCCTCCTTTTGATGCTGCTAATCCTGCATAATGCACGGGCATAAGTAGTACTAATCACATACCTGCATTTCCCATATCCCCTCCCTTTGATGCTGCTAATCCTGCATAATGCACGGGCATAAGTAGTACTAATCACATACCTGCATTTCCCATATTCCCTCCTTTTGATGCTGCTAATCCTGCATAATGCACGGGCATAAGTAGTACTAATCACATACCTGCATTTCCCATATCCCCTCCCTTTGATGCTGCTAATCCTGCATAATGCACGTGCATAAGTAGTACTAATCACATACCTGCATTTACCATATCCCCTCCCTTTGATGCTGCTAATCCTGCATAATGCACGTGCATAAGTAGTACTAATCACATACCTGCATTTCCCATAAATATGCAAAATTCCTCTTGATATGCAAATTATTTTGTCAAGGCGCCCTTTCCCCCCCTTCCAACCCAGATTAAATATACGCTCCAAGCATGGTGCTGTTTCATTCAGACGCTGTCTCCCCGACAGACCTGGTCTTCACCTGAGGACGGCTGCTTGCGTTGTGGCCGAAACGTCGTGAGAATTATTTTATTATGTTTTAATTTTTATTATTTTATTATTTCCATTCTACGTGACTTTACCGAAAGAACCAAGAAGATGAATCCATGCAGTCACAAAAGCTTTAAATCGAAAAATGAATAAAGCGCTCTAACTAGCATTTATCGTAAAAAAAAATGTCCATGTTTTTTTACCCCAGTAATTACCCTGTAATCGCGAAATTTGTATGGGATAAGGGTAAAAGGTAAGGTAAAGGTAGACTCGTTATTTGTTTACCTTTTACCTTACCTGCTAAAGGGTAAAAGGTAGGGTGGCGCGATTGTATTGTGGTAAGGTAAAAGGTAGGGTAAAGTTTCTCTTGTTTTTTTTACCGTTTAACTTTCACCTTACCTTGCCGAGGCCTAGCTCAGTCCCAGCAGTAGCCACAGCCGTACGAACCTTAACATAAAAACTCCTCTCCAGTGGCCTACCCTGGCTCCTCCCCCCCCCCTCAATCAGTATATATACAAGGTCGGGTCTATTGGGATTTCTCTTTACTTGATACAGCAATCGTGCTGTGACTGTTCCACCTGAAGACGGAAGCTTGTGTTGCCTCCGAAACGTCGTGATTTATTATTATATTTTATTTCTATTATTACTTTTATTAATTTCAATTTAATTTTTTACCTACGTGACTTTACCAAAAAAAACCTAAGAGTACATTTCAGGTTTATTTTAAGTATGTGCAGTGTGTATGTATGTGAGCCAGTGTTGAACTTCTTTTGCACCGTACGTAGCCAACCATGTTAATTGGAGGTGCAATTAGCACGGTCAAAGTACACCATCTATGCATTTATCTGTATATGTTATGTACCTGTACATGGTAAAGGTTCAGCCCTGAAATTACATGCTCACAACACTCTATAGAGCCCCTCTAGATGATATGTACTTATACATAATACATGCAATGAAGATTACTAAATCTAAGTTTGTGAATTTTAAAAAATTAAATTCTAAAAAGAATGTTTCACAATATATGCTAACATTGTGGATCTTTTACACAAAGATAAACTGAAAAAGGAAATTAGCTGTGCAATGTAGTGGCCTACACTATAGTTCAGTATAACAATAAAATGAACACATTTAATGGACTAGTTTAAAGACATCTGCAGCGAATCAATGCATTGTTGTGGTTCAGAGTCACAGATTGATTCACGAATAGATTGTTTTTTAACATTGCAGTTAATTGTAGCTCCACTAATTGATGCAGGAGTCATGCGAACCCATTACGTACAACATTAGTGAATATACAAACATTAAACCATATGCACACGGTTTACTGCCTGTATTGCAATATCAAATACCAATAGAAATCTATAAATCAATGCATTGTTACGCTCACATTAGTAAACATCAGTGGCAAGCGATATCTAAACCAGTCTTAGGGAAACCTTAACTTCACCAACCCACACTGAACAGCATGAGATGTGGTCAAATCACCCCCTGTGACCGACAGTGTAGGGAGGCCTTCATCCACAAGTGGATTGACAAAGGGGGTGTCATCATAATTATTAGCTTTTGGTTAACTGTGACAGTAGTTGAACAATCCAATACTGCCTACGTATCTACATCTACTTGAACAAAAAAATGTCATGGAATACGTACATCTGAAGGGCCATTCACCACTGACAGATTGTAGCCGTAGATGAAGGATGAGCCGAAAGCTGCGCTCAGAGATGACAAAACCAGGATTCGTGTGAAGCCCTGTGAAGACAGCGCAGGAGGGTGCGATTCATATTTCCACATTCTTGGTTCTTTCCGAAACACATCCATGTGCAATAACGCTTCCAAATTATCTAAATTTTACAGTACTGCACGCATGTGTGTAAAACGAAAAGTGTTACTTTAAACTTAGTTTCCTTTATGCATGTTTCATTCGACGTTACAATATATCCTGTTAACACTGGAGCAAAAAGTATTAATTTGACTAAAATCTCCTACATTAAATGTATGTAACATAGATATGAAAAAAACATATTTTAGTTGATAGGAAATTCCAGTTTTCTGTGAATATGTAAACTTAACTTGGTTTTCGAGGGAGTTTTCACCACAATATCTTCCTGATCGGTGCCCTCCATATGCCTAAGGGTAGACAATGCAATTTGTGACTGTCAAACACCAGCAATAAAGCAAAAAAAACACAACACATAACCGTATAGGCTCAACCCACTTGCTACCAACACTGCCTTAAAATTATATATAATTGGGTGACATTTCATAAAAGGGCCATTTACAGAAATGTCACAAGGTGTGTTAAGTATTTTTTCTCATTGTGCTTGTGCACCACTGACAACGCAGAATCACCAAGTACTCTACTTCATAGGCTGCATTGTAGTGATGAAATCCCTTTATAAGGCTCACATTTTAAACGACATTATGTAAATGTAATGTTGACAAAGAAAACAGTGACATTATAAATGTCCGCTTGTCCATTGAACGGGATGTGGTAAGAAGTGTGATCACCAGCCATATGATCTATCCACCGCTGAATGAAGGCCTCCAAGGCGCTGCCATATCTCAAGGTCTTGCGATGCAACAATTCATCTCGCTTCTGCGCATGAGCTGCTCTCACCAATCCATCTCCACGTCGGTTGTGCTCTCGGACGAATTTTCTTCTTCCATCATCCCTTCTAGCAGTGTTCTGTGTAATCCCACTTACATTTAACAGTCAACACGATGTCTACAATTTGTGTTTGTTCTCTGATCAATGTGTTCCTTTGTCTCAGTATAATTGCCAGTATGCATCTCTTCAAGCTTCTTTATAGACTTTTTACCTTTTGTTCCAGGGTCCATGTTAACAATCCATGTTATGACTGATGATATGCATTGACTAAAATCTTTAATCTCACCGCAATGACGAGATGAAAGATTTTAACTCCCTCGCCTGGTATGCAAGGTCGTAGGTTTGGTCCCTACCCTGATGCCTGTATATTTGACATTTGTATGTCTCTCTGTTCCCATAGTCGCGTAAAATTTTCTCCAGGTCCTCCGGTTTTCCCCTCCACGTTTAGAGTATTTGGTTGCTATAAATTTGCACGCGATAAGCCACTTTGTAGAGCTATCATTTGTGGTCAGGTCACTTCTGAAAAAGAGCTAGCAGCTTAGTGGGCCTTACCTGGCAAAATAAAAAAAAAGCGTTTAAATAGTTTATAGTTTGTAATGGCGTATTGGTTTTCATGGTCAAATTGAATATCCCAATGGAAGTCCATCTCGCTAACGCGCACCACGTTATTTCATAATTTTGATACCAACCTGCCCTCAATTATTGCTGTTGTTTTCTAGTTGGGACCCTCTAACATGTTCAATGAGCTTGCTGTTCGTGACAGGTGCAATACGTTTTTGTTTATTATTTGTTTAGATACTGGTATAAAATATGGTTCTTTCATTGTAGAAAAAGTTATATTTTCTCGGTATTGTCAACTTGTAACTTTGCTCTGGGAGGCCTGGTTTTGAGCCAAATATATTTACTGAAAAATCACAGCAATGGTAACACAACAATTTCCATCTGCACAATTGTGTTTGCAAATGTGCATATGCAGAGTGATAGATATTCCACGAATATGACGGGGTGCAATTCTAGAAATATTCCACTGTTAGAACAAAGGTCTCCCAACGCTGTTTCAGTGACGTCGGCCGTTTAACTGAGTTCATTGTGCTGGTCAGTGCGAGGTAGTGAAGGGCTGGGGTCTATCACCAGTTCACATATCACTTGTCCCTAATCTGATGTCAGAAATAAAAACTCAAGTTGCCAGATGCATTGTGCAACACTAACCACGTCACCCCGACCACTCCAAAGTGCATATCTCCATATATATAAAAGGCAAAGTTGTGAATGTGTCTGTTCAAAATGTTTAGCGTACTTCCCGACATGCAACAAACTGCAAATTTGCCATGTGGGTACATTCCATCATGCAAAAATTATAAAAATAGACTTTTGTATTTTTTGGGGGCGGGGGGGGCAATAATGGATATATTTTGCACGGCAAGTGAGCTGTGACGTCGCATCTGTCATGTGACCCGCGTGCGGAAGCTTCACGGAGTGTGCCTGCTCATGTCACCCCCCCCAACCCTCCGCGGGTAAAGTGAAATACAAATGTGTTGCAGGTCTAAGGCGTTCTTCGCGCAGCATTGGTTTATTATTTGAGTCGTTTACTGCCGTACGCACCCTGAAAGTTGCGTGTCTGCAGCAAGCGCGTGTATGTGTACGCGCCTGTGTGTGTGTGGGGGGAGCGGTAGTGTAGTGATTAGCGCGCTGCGCTACGAACCCGGCGACCCAAGTTTGATTCCCGCTCACGGCCACCACCGGTGACGACTATTTGAACCGGTTCTGGGCCTCCCCCTGGTCGACTCGGCCTCAAACGAGTAACTGGTGTGGTGCGTGAACATTGCCACTGGGGGGACAAAGGCGGCCGGGCATGGTGAATCCAAGTCCCGGGCGAAGCCGGGTAGTAAAGCTAGTTTATGTATATGGTAAACAAAGCAATAAGTTACTGCTACCCGGCTATGACATATGGATTCGTTTTCACCAGGTAGTCCGATTTCCTCCTGCAAAAAACATCACTAATAAAATAATTATCGTTTAAAATTACTGGCATTACTGGCATTCATGATCTCTATACTGTTGCATGAATCAATCTATCACCTGCACACAAACTAATTGAATTTAATTGCTCCATATCCATGATGTAAATGTCTGTGCGTGAACTCTCTTTTGGATGCCACTCTATTATTATCAGTCTCAATAATCAGCCATCATGCCTTCTAGACAAGATGGGTCCTACCCCAGTCCAATTACCTTACTTAACTGTCAAAACATTTCTATAATCGTGTTTGTTCTCTGATAGATGTGTTCCTATTTTTGTTCCTCGATGTAATTCCAAGTACTGTATGCACATCACACTTCTTTTGGCACTTTCACCTTTTAATCATACCAATGTATCAGACAATGGTATCACATCATTGCATATTACTTGTGATTACATATTTATCAAACCCACTGACAGTGACACAGAAAATGGAAAGAAATATTACTGAAACGTGGAGCTAAGATGTATACTAAGCCACTGGAAAAGGGACACATGATACGTTCATAGCTTTTCATGACTCCAATAAATTAATTTTTCCAAAAACATTGCTAACCTGCTCTCGCATGCCTCTTTATGGCATCATTTAAATCGGGGTCTGCCTTTTAAAAAAATCCACAAGTGTACTCACAACAGGCATGACAATTACATTCATACACCAAGACAAAGATCCTCCTATAGCCTTTGCAAACTGTTGGGGAAGGTGTTGTTAGCGAGCACCTATGAAGGCCGGCACGGCACACGAGGGAGTTGGAGGGCATCCGAGGTCGGCATGTCCACGAATGCCTCCCAACTCCCGCCGGCTGCCAAGACGTTTTCCACCTGCCCCAACTATTGAGGCATTTCTCCACAACCCTGACAGCGAGGGCAGCAGCTGAGTTAGGGCACCCTCGGTCCCCTGGAGAGCCCTGGGGCCGTTCTGTTGCTCTGCTGGCCGAGGGGCCATGCTCGCAACATCCGCAGCAGCTCGAGGCACCACCTTGAGGCACCACCTTGAAGCTGTGCGATTAAGCGGCGCCCACTGAGTCCGACGCAGTGGCGACAGCTACCAGGAGCTCGGACGGCTGGGCCGGCGATGATGATGGGAGACCCAGCTGCAGGTTACCATCTGGGGTGCTGAGCTGCACAGCAGCCGTCATTTCCAGGTCTCTGGGCGGCGTCGGGCACGACTCCAGCAACCACGGCACATACCCCTGCGAGTTGGTAACCGCTCCTTGCCGCTCTTGCAATGGCTGCGGAGTTGCGACCACAATGCTGACGGCGACTGGCGTCGGGGCAAGCTGTCCACGGCGCTTAGCTGGCGCCATCCCTACTGGTATTGGGACGGGTCCTTATCTTCCAACAGAGTTACTTCCAACAAGAGTCCAGCGACATGACTCCCCGGAGGCATTGAGGCCATTCCTAGGACCTTGGATGATGAAGCATTGAAGGTGAGAAGCCACTGCATGCGCTTAAAATAAAAACCAGATAATTTATGGGGTGCTGCGCATGTGCCCGATGGTGGCGCTCCCTTTCGCGTACTCGGATTTCTCATTTCCCTTTATTCTAGACACTAGTGATGTCATTATCAGGACTGTATTGTCATAGATGCTAAATGGAAGGGTAATGGTGATAGCGTACTGCAGTCGCATTGTCTCTCGCCAAACAAAAGTACTGCAAAACCAATCACACACTGTTGTTAGTTGTGCACTTCATGCACCAGTACCACCCCCCTACCTGTCGAGCCAGAAATGTATAGTACGCACTGACCACGTGGCTTTACAATACTCTCTGCGATTCGACCAGCTGTCGGGCCAGATGGCTAGATGGATTGAGCGACTTCAGGAATTTAATTATGGATGTCATTTATCGCAAAGGTGCCCACCATTCTAATGCAGATGCTCTCGCTCGACTAGGCTCCTCGGTTAGGCTCACGTGCACAACAGGTTTGTGCACCGTAAAGTAATCGACCCAGAAGGGAGCCGGGTTATTGCCCCAGTGTCAGCAGGGCTGGAGAGAGACCAGTTGATGCTTGGAGATTATGGGTTGAGATCCTTAAACACCATTGGGGACTCCGAAAATACAAAGAGGCCTGCGTCTCAGTCATCAGTTGTCACATTTTTGACATTGGGAGGGCCTTCTGATGGATGTGTTGGGATATGGCCTTGCAGCATCAATGTGTTCTTGTTCTTAGCCCGTGGCGCAGGAGATTTGGGCATATTTACATTCTTCAGCTCATGCACCTGAGCGACAAAAATACTCACGTTATCTTTAAACTTCACTATTATTGGCCAGGTATGTTCATGGACGTCCATTGCCGAGTAGTAGTGTGCAAATAGTGCGCACGATGAAAACCGCCCCCTTGTGCGCCAATAGTTCCACTACAATCCATTACTGTCTCTCGGGTGAATGAAATGGTTGCCCTAGATCTAACCCTGGGTCCCTTCTCTGCAACACTGTGAGGAAATCGTTATTGCTGGTTGGGGCTGAATACTTGACCTGTTGACCCATGGCATGACCCCTTCCAGATCAGATGACAAAATCTACCACAGAGGCATTCATAAATGGGTATGTGGTAGATAAGGGCTTCCCCAAGCAATTTCTGCCCAACCAGGGTCATCATCTTTCATCCCAGCTCCTGAAAGAGATATGCACTATGTTGGCCACTTAAAAGCTGCGAACCTCGCCTTACCACCCGTAGACAGATGGAATGGTTCAAAGGTTGAATCTCACTATTCCGTCCCCATTATGCCACAGCGTACCGAATGGCCTCACACGCTTCTACAGGATTCTCCCCGTTCTACTCGATGTACGGATGGGAGCCAACACCCTGACTGAGAATCAGCTGGCCAAAATATCGGCCCACGTAAGGTCCTGGCCAGGCGTCCTCCCATCACACTTTAACTTTCCTGCAGGAATTGAGGGAGGCCCCAAGGGCTTCTCTGCTACAGTCCAAGCAGCAAACAAACAATTTCAGGCAAAGACCACAACATGAAAGTAGTGGAAGGTAGGTGGCATGACATGGCTGCACTGTTCACAGGTTCCAGCTGGCATATCCCAAAAATTGCATAGACCATGGAAGGGACCTGTCAAAGTCATCAGAATCCTGTGGTCACAATGCGTGAATGATAAATTGGAAAATTGCCATTGGTACATTAATCCTTTTTTCTTAGAACCACATGTTCATGACTCAGATGTCTCTCAATCATCATCACCAGTCTCTTGGTCATCAGTAACGTTGCCGGGTTCCAGGGTGTCGCCCACCAAACATCCATAGGCTGGCGCGTCAAATTCAAGTGCACCAATTCCATCCGCAGGGCCAGCTGTGAGTGACCTCTGGCGACCATCCCCACATCAGTAGGAGGGGTCCACTGTGCAACCAAACGGTACCACAGACTCTGCCGGACAAAATAACTTCCCTTGCTCTTTTCTTCTTATTTCCATATTTGTCCATCGCTAGTTGTTCTTGCGCAGTACGGGTTATCAGGGGAGGATGTACATATTTTTCTGTTGCTTTGTGTGCTTTCCTCATGTCATTCTTCTGCCATTTTTTCTCTTGCATCTGTGTTAGGGCATAATAAGGGATAAACTCTAGGTGGAATTTCGCTCCCGAGTGGTTATAAGGGCAGTGTAGGTTGACAAAGCTGCGGACAGCTTAATCGTCGGGGAAGAAAAGGCTAGGTGTCAACAACAAGTGTTTATGCTGTGTGCCGCCTGTCCTACAAGTGTCCGTGCCGATTCCGGCAGAACAATAAAGTTCCCTCACCAGGAAGACCAGTGTGGACTGTTGCATATTCATAAACTACCACCGCAAGGGAAGACACATTCATACACCACCACAACAAGGGAACTCATTCATACACCACAATCACAGGGGAGACACATTCATACACCACAATCACAGAGGGAGACACATTTACACACCACAATCACAGGGGAAGACACATTCATACACCACAATCACAGAGGGAGACACATTCATACACAACAATCACAGGGGAAGACACATTCATACAGCACAATCACAGAGGGAGACACATTCACACACCACAATCACAGAGGGAGACACATTCACACACCACAATCACAGGGGGAGACACATTCATACACCACAATCACAGGGAGACACATTCATACACCACAATCACAGGGGGAGACACATTCATACACCACAATCACAGAGGGAGACACATTCATACACTGCAATCACAGAGGGAGACTCATTCATACACCACAATCACAGAGGGAGACACATTCATACACCACAATCACAGAGGGAGACACATTCATACACTGCAATCACAGAGGGAGACTCATTCATACACCGCAATCACAGAGGGAGACACATTCATACACCACAATCACAGAGGGAGACACATTCATACACCACAATCACAGGGGGAGACACACCGCGAGGGAATCATAAAATGGGCTGGGAGCCAAGAGCTGTTATCGTTTGGAGACCTCCACTTGGTATATCCAATTCCTTCCCTTATCGGTTTCACCACCACCCATTCCCGAAGAAAAATACTCCATAAAACATCATGTACCTTGGTCAGTTCAGTTCTGGTTTTAACCAGTGACATACAAACATCAAAGTTGAATCAAAAGTTAAAACGAAACCCCTTCTTATGTCAGCCCATACATACCTGTAACACGGCCCTACACACACACGCAGTGATGCCGTGCCTTCAATTACCAAATGACCTAAATGATATCCATCGGATGCATGCTATGATACATAGCATGTGTTCACAGTGCGGCAGTAATGCGTTTCTCCCATTATAATAAAGCAATTTCCAAAAAAAAAATATTTTCTCCGGGGTGATGGGTGGGGGGGGCTCAAAATCCAGAACGCAGTCCCCATATAAGCCCCTTGCATTAATCCACCACCAAAGGATCTCCCCGTTGTAATCCTTTATGACTGCAGGGGCAAGTGCTGTTAGCGAGCACCTATGAATGCCGGCACGGCACACACGAGGGGGGGTAGGTGGCCAGCAACCACGCCCGGCCGCCTTTGTCTCCCCAGTGACAATGTTTACACACCACACACCTTACACACCACCACAGCTGGTTATAAGCCACCAGTGCAAGGAGGCTTACATTTGTATCAAGGCTCTGGGGCTATAATCAAGATAAAGAATATACACCTACAGCAAGTGCTACACACCCCACTCTAAATAAGAATGCGAACGCAGCACGTGTTAAAGTTTGTAGTGATCATGATAAAGGTCGTTTCGAGTTCTGAAGCCCGTTCAGCAGAAATCCACGCACCTCGCAAGATCTTCATTTGAGGCCGAGTCGACCTAGGGGAGGCCCACGCCCGGGTCAGATAACCATCACCGGTGGCGTTGACCGTGAGCGCAGCGGCGCTAACCGCTGTCCCACCGCTCCCCTTTAATCCACAACGACCACCACAAACAAAGGACAAAGAGCCCCCGTATAGCCTCGACAGAGTGTTGGGGCAAGTGCTGTCAGCAGAGGAGCATCCATAACAGGAGGGGGGGGGGGGCAGCACCGCGTTCGGGTCACGCTTTCGTCTCCCGAATGGCGACGTTTCGAGACCCGCACCTTGTACTCGTTTGAGGCTGAGTCGACCTAGGAGGGTTGGGGGGGTCAGGGGGGGGGGTTGAGACGACGAACCAAAGCCGCAGGTATCGGACACCGCCGTCAACAACAACCACCACCACCACCACGCAAGCCCCAAGTTCAACTCACTTGGGTGCCGTGGCAGAGGCGACCGTCAGCCTGAGCACTTCTTCGCCGGGCTCGCTCAAATTCATGGCTTTTGTTGTTTATGGCGAGTCCTCGATTGGACAAGCGAGAAGCGCAAACTACTGAACAACTACGGAACCACCCGCAGGCTGTGTGATAAGCTCGACTGCGGCGTAATACTGAAACGAGGCCGGTGGTGGTGGTTATGGGAGGGTGGTGGTGGTGATGGGTGGGTGGTGGTGGGGTGGGTGGTGGTGGTGATGGATGGCGTGGGTGGTTATGGGTGGGTGGTGGTGGTGATGGGTGGGTGGTGGTGATGGGGTGGGTGATGGGGTGGGTGGTGATGGGTGGGTGGTGGTGGTGATGGGTGGTGGGTGGTGATGGGTGGCCGGTGGTGGTGATGGGTGGTGGAGGGTGTGTGGTGGTGGTGATGGGGTGGGTGGTGGTGATGATGGGTGGGTGGTGGTGATGGGTGGGTGGTGGTGGTGGTGATGGGTGGTGGAGGGTGTGTGGTGGTGGTGATGGGGTGGGTGGTGGTGATGATGGATGGGGTGGGTGGTTATGGGTGGGTGGTGGTGGTGGTGATGGGTGGGTGATGATGGGTGGGTGGTGATGGGTGGGTGGTGGTGATGGGTGGCCGGTGGTGGTGATGGTGTCTGAGTCTGCGGAGATGATGACTCTGAAGTTGTTTGGTCACAGAACTTTGCTCGTGCTCTCTCCGCCGCTTGTGCCCCCCCAGATGAGAGTACTGACAGGAGTGGCTGTGTGTGTGCTCAGTCTACGCGTCAGGAAGTGCCCGGTTATTTCGAGTGCACACGCATTTAAGGTCCGCGCTATGTTGCGGTGGGGGTGGGTGGATAGTTGCGGTAGTTGTATCGATTCCACTCGAGGTTAATATTTTTGTTCTAACAAAGCGGCCACCAACAACAACAAGAAACTTCAAAACCACACCCGCTCCCGACCATCACCCTCTGCAGCAGCCTCCCATCCTCCCCACGATATTTTCCGGAGCTCAGCCCTTCCCGGCCTCTTACCGACCTCCACCAACCCCCCACACCAAAAAAGTTTCGCGTATCGACGGATTTCGCGATTCTCCACGTGGTGTGTGTGAGTGGTGGGTGGGGAATCGACGCCGTTCGATGTGACGCTTGCTTCCTGGACGGGGTTCGATGACCGTTTTGACGACAACGTGGCGAGTTTGAACGTCGCACGCGTTCGCCGCTAGGGGGCCGCTGAATATTGCACCGAAAAATTTGGTGTGGGGGGGTTTAAAAACTCGCAAAACCATCGTGATTTATATGCATTCATTAATAATCCCCCACCCCACCCCACCATTGCCCGAAAGAAGTTGCTCACAAGTGTTGTCATCACATCTACCCCTCTATTTAAGGAACGAAACAGAATTATTTCTCCACAAATCTGGCTGTCGCCTGATGAAGCTAGTTTTAACTATTGGCAGAACGTCGTACTCAGATTATAAATGTTGTGGCTTTGCTCTCCAACACACCAGTGTGCTGTACTAGTTACCAATTGGCATGTTCTGTTTACGTGACAACCCTTACTTATTGGCTGTGTCGGGTGGTGGCGGGTTTAACGGCACATATTTACGCGATCTAACACAAAAAAAAACTGTATTATGGATTATATTGGTTGCGAAAGCCTACGTGTTAAACTGGGTTATAAAAGATCCTCCATTTAAACAGCGCATGGAATTAAAACAACAATGTGAATCACGATGATTCATCTGTGCGGCAAGAACGGGTGATGTAATTCCCTGCTCCGCGTGCTGCTTCAAACGACGAAGGCATTTAGGGATGGCTGTCACGGAATCAGAATATTGAAGCGCTTTTTTCACAGATTTTCAGGAGTGTATCAATATCCATTGGGGCCAAGTACATTATCATAAGCCTAAAATGGATGGGCATTGTGTATGTATGTTGACATTTTTTCGCACCGTACTTAGGCGACCGTGCCAATGGGAGGTGCCGGGGGAAGGACAACAAACTAAACACAAAAATGTGTTATAAATAAATGAATTTTAAATCTAGATGACTTAAACGTGCATAGCTCTAGTGGCTTCCTCATATCGGAAGCAACAGCATTCCAGACGACTACATAACACATTATTGGTTGGTATTTGATCACCATAAATACACAATATCATATTCCGTATACGGAGATGGAGCAGCTATGTACTCTTGAGATTGCATGAATAAATTAAAACTAAACTATAAACAATTTTTATTAGTTTCTAGTTTAGCAACTATATACTCTTGAGATTGCGTGAATGCATTAACAACTTGCATAGCAGAAGGGTAGTCGGACCAGGAAACAAGCATCCGCCAGCCTTATTCACAGCGACACCATAAGTTGTGTTCAGAGAATTGGATTTGGAAATGAACATGGGAGTAAACGTACATTGAGAAAATTACATCTCAGATTTGTTGATGTACATGATTAAAATCAATGTAATATGATGTGCAAAACAAAAGTGATGTGCTGTATTATTGATAAAAATAACGGAAGATGTACGTTGTTGGAACACAAGGCACATCAGAGTACGTATTTTTGTTGACGGCAGACCGGTAACAAAAACAACGTATGAGAGCAGGTTGGAGCATAATTGGAAATGTTAAATACTATATAATACAGTTTGTAATAATGTGCCTATTATTGTATATTACCTGTGAAGTATTGGAATTGACGGCATGAACTTCTTGACGGGTAACACAATTTTATTAAATCTTTACGTTCACAATACAACGTGTGGTCTCCTTTCTTCCGACTACACACTCCACTTAACTCGTGTAGACTCTATGGTTCTGACTACACCCAATACACTTGACTCGTGTAGACCCTATGCCTCTGGCTACACACAATACACTTGACTCGTGTAGACCCTATGCCTCTGGCTACACACAATACACTTGACTCGTGTAGACCCTATGCCTCTGGCTACACACAATACATTCGGCTCGTGTAGACTCTATGCCTATGGCTACACACACTACACTCGCCTCTGGGTTACACAGAGTCCCGGTCCCGTTAGGACAGCGGGACTAGGTACCGCAGGGCCCTAGGTCTTCATCTTCATTCTTCGCTGGTTACATACTGCCCTTACGCCTGTGTGCATCCCCTTTTATAGCCCCTGCTCACGAGAGACGGAGCTGATCCGGACGTCGACGTGAGCATCGTTCCCTAGTGAACCAATCACGACGCACTCTCTCTACGATCCGTTTTCCCAGCGCGTGTTAACACTCCTCTACCAATCACACCGCGCTGCCACCCGATCACTCCCTCTCAGCGCGTCACGGGCCCACAGCCAATCAGTACCCCGTAACCCACGACCCCGCGCTGACCCCTGATCCTCCACCGTCAGCGCGCGTCACCACCCACACAGCCAATCATTACGCGCTGGCATACGATCCCTAATCCCAGCGCGTATCACCTCTACATCACCCCCTCCCACATAGCTTGCAGCCGGCCCGGCTGTTAACCAACAACACAACCTAACGTCAACGCAGTAATAAAGAAACTCCACCTCCCAGTGTGCCCCGTAACGCAACAACAACAACACAACACAACACTTAAATATGAAGCAATATACAGCCCGACGAACAACACAATAAGAGCGAACACCCGAAAACGAACGCGCCACGTGTCTCTGTGACTAAACGCAGTGCCGAGGCGCTCCGTCTGCCACGACTCCTCACATGGTAGGTCACACAAAGTAGCGCGACCTAGCGCGAGTCCGTCTGGCCGGTCCGTCATATGGGACGGGACGCTGGCATACGTCCGGTGGCTCCGGCAGCTCTAGACGGCGCGGATCGGGCCTGGAAGGACCGGCCCCGCCGCGAAGATCCGGCCGCCGGTGGTCGGCAGCTGTCAGTTCCGAGACACCTGGGAGCGGACCAGGCGGAGACATGTGAGGAGCAGGCAAAGACAATCCCCCCTTAGGGTCGTCGGTCACGTCACATGCTCGGCCCTCACGACACAAGGGGAGGCCATATGGAGGCGAGAACGGTTTCAGTCGGGAGGGGTGGACGTACCAACGGCGTTTTCCCCATTTTATCTGAACGCACTGGGGGCATGCAACCCGCACGACCTCCACGGGTCCCCGCCATGGCTTCAACAATTTAGGCAACGTAGCCAAAGGTGCCTGAGGGCAATGCAGCCAGGCCCTGTCACCTGGTTCCCAGTTGTGCACGGACACCTTCCGTGCACGCAACCGCTCGTTTGCAATTTGGCGAGCCCGCGAATTAAGCCGTGCGGCCTCCCTTGCCTCTGTCAGCTTATGAATGTTACATTTAATATGCTCTGCCAATTTCGAATTAGTCCGTGGTGCGGGCAGACCCAGCTGCGTTTCCATGGGCGGGTCGGCTTCCCGACCGTACATCAGATAAAACGGGGAAAATCCCGTAGCTGCATGGGGGGCCATTCTATACGCGGCGAGGACCCCAGGAACCTGCAGGTCCCAATCAACATGTGCCTCACACACCTGCTGGCACAGCATAGAAGTCAATGTCCTGTTGAGCCTCTCAACCATCCCGTCCGTCTGCGGGTGGTACGGGGAGGTACGCACCTTCTTAGTACCCAACAGGTCGCACACCTCTTGCAGTAATTTACTCGAAAAATTTTTCCCTTGGTCGGTCAGCAAGCGTTCGGGAGCCCCCTTGTCCAGGACGTAGCCCTGGACAAAGGCGTCCGTCACAGCCGCCGCCGACTGGTTGGCGAGTGGCCACGCCATAGGCCACCGGGTAAAATATTCGACCCCCACCAACAGGTACTTATTACCCCTAGGCGTGACTGGAAAAGGCCCCAGAATATCGAGTGCGACGAGCTCGTTAGTGCGCGAGACCTGAATAGATTGCAGCGGTGGATTAGCTGCCACAGGCAGTGGTTTCCGTCTGGCGCACTCAACACAACCCTTCAGAATATTCACCACGTCACCCCCCATTCCCGGCCAATAATAGTCACGCTGAAGCAGGGCAAGCGTTTTGTTAACTCCCAAATGCAAGAGGCGTTCGTGTGCGGCCAAGACAACCTTCCCCCTCACAGCAGAAGGCACCACAATCGCGTGCCGCCGGGACAAACTGTCCCATCTCATTAACAGGCCCTGCGTAAGCACGTAGGAGCCAGTTCGTTCATGGTCACCTTCGGAACCCCCCGTCTTGCGGCGCAATGCTAGC